TTTGATTACTGCTCAAATCTTATAATTTGCTACACGAAAAAAAGAAACACAAAGCCTTTGCCATGCACACTATATGATTTTATTCTTACTACTCAAAATTAATATTTAAAACAAAGATATATTTCAAATCAGTCAACAACTTCAAGCATACAGCCTACAATTTTTCATCATCCATTTTTATGCAGAGCACTAAAACTATGCAATAAAATTATATATTGCAAGAAACCAATGAACTTATTCAAACAACTTGATTTTGTTAATCTTGATAACAACACTTGAAATAATAATTTGTTTAACTTCAAAGTGTCAGGCAAACACTTAACCGTATAAGACAAACTAGAGTAAAAAGTGCAGAAGCATTTTTTTTTATATATTATTTAAATCATAAATGTTTTTATGATTTAAATAATTTAAACATTCTTTGATTAAAATATTTAAACATTCTTTGATTAAAAAACAATTTAATTCGTAGGTGTTCTGATTTTGTCACTTCCCTACTAAAGTTGATATAAATATGTAAGGATTTTGTGTGCTGGCAAAATAATAAGCAAACATATATGTTCATTTCAATATGCTGATATATATCTTTAATGAATTCTCTTGATTTTACTAATTATTTTTTAAAAGAAGAAAACTGCTTTGAATCAAAAGTATTACAAAGTAATTAAAGTAATTTCCAATATATAGGAAACCAGTTGCCTTGATTGGAACAAAATTGGAAAAATGGAACTTGCCTTGATTGGAACAAAAATGGAAAAAACAAATGACTTGACAAAACCGAGTTTATTTCCAATAACAGTGCAATTAATTAAGGTAAACTATAGTTAAAAGTAAAGAAAGGTTTACCGGGGCCAGGATTGGGTTTGTAAAAAGTCCTATATTAAGTTGGAGTCGGGGCCTCAGTCACTTACTAACTCAACTAGCATTATCTGACTTGCTTGCAACTTGTTTTAAATATACCAAAACTCATCCCCAGTAGCAAAATCACGTTGCCCCCATAGATTGTTACTGAATAAGGATAAATGTTCCTTTTATGTCTTAACTCTATCCTTTTAACTTTGATTTGTTAATTTGTCAAGTATGACTCACTGAATAATACAATTGATTGTAAAATGATTATTTATGTCAGGACTTCAATTGTATCATGAACTAAATCAGGGCTCTCTTCAATTAAAATTTAATCAATGTTCTCAACCTATTTGAATTTCTCCTAATTTATGGATGATTAGATGGAATGGCATTATGATCCCCATTCAAGCTTTTGAATATGAAAATATTTTTATGATAACTTGATGTAGAGTTTAAGTTAGTTTAGTAGATATTAAAACATAATTTTTTATGTTATATTATAAATTATTTTAATAAGATTTATAATATATTTTTAATAAGTATAATTTTATTATTGTAAACTGTCTACTCAGTTTTTACATTAACCGAAGTATCTTCTGCCTATTTATATGCTCTTTAATTGGAGGTCTGTAATCTTAAGGACTAATTTTGTCTATTCTGAAGTGTCCATGCTGGAGTTCATGTTTTACCAAAAACTTCTTGTTATTCTAAGTTTTTGCAAATGTTACAAAAAATAAAGTCTGCCTTAAGTATTTAATTTATTACAATTATTTATACTTTAGCATTAAGCATACAATTGAATGTTTATTGGTAGGTTTATATATAACTTTTTTTAGGTTATTTTTAAAAAGTAATTTTACCCACTTCATTAAAAAATATTATTTAAAAGTAGCGCACTAAACAGCATTGAAACCATATCTGTTTGAAACCCAATATAAAAATATAATTCAAGTAAAACATGTCTAACATTAAAAAAACCAAACAGCAAAACATTTTTGAAAAACCTTCAAGTATAATTTGAAAGTTTTTCAACAATCTTTTACTGTTTACAACATTTAAATCAATTACAAGTATTGCAGAAGCAGGAAAGAAACCAACAACTTTACAATAAGATTGTAGTGAGATCATCAAGTAGGTCAGCAATTGATGTTTTAAACTACTTTGGATAATTAAATGCCATAGAGATACAATGTTGTCATTGTAACAAAAGGTTTTTCAATCAATATACCGATTACGTACATTATGTAACAGAAAGTGACATCATGTAGCATTACATACATTATTTAACAGAATGCATTATAAATAAAAAAAAAATTATTATCTGTCTACAAGATCAACAATCAATAAAAACATTGAAAAAGAAATTAAAAAGATGTCTCCAGAAAAGAGACTTGCTTTTGTATTAAATTATGGTTTTACTAAAACTCAGTACAAGGCGATAAGATTGGAAAGTAAAGAGAGAGGTGCAGATATTTATTCGCTTTACAGCAGTATTTTGGAATCTAATAAAAGGTGCAGACCAAATAATATGCACTTCTCTGACAAAGAGGCAAATATGCCATTACAAAATCTTCTAATAAAATTTGTTCAAAGAATAATAGAATCACAAGAGACATAAATTATATCTAAAATTACTAATAAAGAAAAGGACTCAGTTGAGTTGGTTTTTGTTCTAAATTGGGGATTTGATGGAACCATTTTCTTATTTCAATCAAAAGTTCGATGAGTAACTTAAAAGTTTATTTGACGATACGCTTTTTTCTGTTGCAATTGTACCCTTAATACTTCAAACATATGACTGGGATGTGTTTTGAGCAAACCCAACTCCTAATTCTGTTAGATTTTGCAGACCAATGATCGTAAAGTATGCTATAGAAAGTAAAAAACTTATTCTGAAAACAAAATTTTTTGTTGAACTTTTTGATATTATAATATGGCTACCAAATGGAAAAGTTCTTAATATTAAAAGCTCTTTATTTTTAAAAGCCATCGACGGAAAATGTTTTAGCGGAAATCATTGAAACACCGTCTTATCATTGTGTCCACTTTGCAAAGCAACACCTACTGAAATTAGTCATATTGAAAACTACGCAAACAAATTATTTAACACTGAGAAAGCATTTTTACTATTTGGAATAAGTCCACTTCATTACTGGATCTGTTTCATAGAAGATCTCCTTCATTTGTCGTACAAATTGGATGTTAAGCAATGGCAGGCAAAAGGAAAAATAAATAAAGGTTATGTAAAAGCTAGAAAAAGTCTTATACAAAAAAAGATTATGGGGAAAATTTAATTTACATGTAGACAAACTCCATCCCAGTGGCTCTGGTTCATCTAACAATAGAAATACTGCTTGGTGAGCTTTTTCTGATCCAATATTATTTTCAGAAATTTTGGATACAGATATAAATCTTATTGTCCATATAAGAACAATATTAATATATATATATAGATATATATATATATATATATATATATATATATATATATATATATATATATATATATATATATATATATATATATATATATATATATATATATATATATATATATATATGTTTGTCTTGTCAAATTCCTATTGATCCAATCAAATTTGAAAATTATTGTCTACAAACAGTTTTAATTATCAATGAGAAATATTCATTGTATAAAATTCCTACTTGTGTTTATAAAGTTTTAGGTCATGGAGCTCAAATCATGGCGTAATCAACTTTCTCAGTTGGAACTTTTGGCGAAAATGCTGGAGAATGTCTTCACAAATGTCATAGAAAATGCTGGAGAATGTCTTCACAAATTTCATAGAAAATGCTGGAGAATGTCTTCACAAATGTCATAGAAAATGCTGGAGAATGTCTTCACAAATGTCATAGAAAAGAATCATGCAAGAAAAACCTCAAGAATTAACAACTTAACTCATGTTTTTTGTCAAAGTTTAGAAAAATCAGATCCTTTTATTTCCCATATTGTTTTGAAAAGACGTTTGAAGTCTGTATGTAAATTAGTACAACCAGAAGCGGTGTTTACTTTTACTGATTGAAAATTCAATAAGAAGTAAAGATGTTAATGAAGAGGTTTTTATCTGAACTAATTGATGTTTATCGACAATTAGATTGCGTTGATATAGAAGCCGATAGCAGTTTATCTGATAATGAATAAATACTCAGCTATAACTATGAAATTTACTTTTTATTTAAATAATTCGAAATTTTTATTATTAAATAATGTGCTTCTGTTTTGCATGTTTTTTCTCATTCCGCAAGTCCTCGTTACTTGGGGAAAACCTCTTTTATATTTTTTTAAAAAATCAATTTTTTTGATTTTATTTTTAATCTAATACCTTTATTTTATGTATATTAAGGAATATATTGAAAAATAAAATTGGAGCGTGATTTTTAGCACTGAATAAAAATGACTGTCATGTTTTATGTTAAAAAAACAGGCGGGTCCTGGCAGCATTAAAACCTATATTGGATTAAAAGAAGAAGGGTTGAATTTTATCCATACATATTCAGAAACATACAGAATTTAATAAAAGTCACATTCAAGTATGCTATTATTTACTAGTATAAAAAGTTATCTTTCTCTGCATTTTTACGACATGAAATGTAATTTTATAAAATATTTTTATTAAAGTCTGAAATATTGTTTAATATTCTTCCGATTGATATATAATATATGGAAGTACACAGGCGTGGTTTAAGATATAAAACAAAAGTTTGAAATTATTGCTTTTTCAATAAATAATTGTTGTTTAAAAAAATGCAACTTTGAGCATCTGCGGGGAAGCGCCAATGGTCTGAAAAAAAAATTATTTCAGAACATAAAAATATGACTAATTTGCAACAATCTTGCATATTCAGAACTCTTTATATCGGATTTTCGTAAATCTGGAATTAATGCCACTTTTTGATTATTTCAAACCACTGTGTTATGGCAAAACAAAAATTAAGAATAATCTTAAATTCAATAAACAAAATACCTCGCTTTGTTTTATTGCTTATTCTGATGGCTTTGAAAGAATTGTTAATAGTGATTTACTATTTTTTCCAGGAACACTTGGTATCTTCAAATCAAATTATTTCAAAAGCTTGATAAACAAATCCAACCTCAAACAGATAAATTTTAAATGAAATAATAGAAATTATACCTTGCTTGGATTTGGAGGAAACAATATCTTTTGTTTTTCTTTATGCTCAGCTTCCTTTTCTTTGTCTTTTTTTAACTTAAAAATAAAATGTTTTACTTTAATTAAATAATCTTTTACAAAACATTAAAAATAAACAAGTAAAAATACTTTATTTTTCTACATTTTATTGTAATAACAAAACACATACACAATAGAAAGACCAAATATATTATTATTAGTAAATACTAGGTCTTAAGAGCTTATTTCTGAGAAAATCAGGCTATGCTTAAAAGTGATAACAGGGTCAAATCATTATATTTCAAACAATTTGAAAAAAACTTTGTGGGACACCATCTCTGATTTTCCTGATTTTTACATATTATTATGTACATTATGTAGATAGGTTAAATTTGAAATTTCAGACTTCCAAGTACTACGGTTCAGAAATTACAGCCTTAGAAACATGACACAGTGACCCCCCTCGATTTACAAGTGGTCAAAACAGACTACTTTAGTCTACTTTAAAAAGTCCAATTTTCAGCCATTTTGAGATGCTTGTAAATTTTTCTTAAACTTTGTTTTGATCTAATGATTAACAGCATATAAGACCATTAGACCCATCTATCTAAAAATGCAAACATTAAAAACTTGTCAAATCCATACCAAAAATGCCAGCATTTTTAAATAACCCTATTTTTCAATTATCAGTGGTTGAATGTGTTACTAGAAACCAGTGCCCTTCTAATATGCCAACTAGCCTATGTAAAAGGTGCAACTAATTATAAGTCATTTCTAAATAAAAAAGAAAGATATGGTTGGTTGTTCTCTACTTGATCTGGTTTTTATAGTAAATAGGGACACAAATAAAGGGAGCAGTAACTTTTTAGAGACCTTCATTTTGGTTCAAATGAAGGTCTCTAATATAATTTAGATATTTAGATACTTAATATTTAAAGATCTATATTAATTTCAATATGAAACCATTATTTCTTTAAACGCTATTTTATTATAGGTAATCAGTGGTCTGTATGAGGTCTGACTTCCCCCCCCCCCCACTCACTAAGGTGAGGGGGCATTGGAGGGGGTTTAGGGTGGCACCAATCAAAGGAGGGGTTTTTTTTATATAATTCCCTCAGTTTACATGGTATAAAATCCAAGTTTTATATTTTTAGATTTTAAAATGAACAGAGATAGAATGAACAGAGAAGTCACTTATAGAAATCCGAGGATGCATATCAATTTTTGATAAGGACTATATGGCATATATAATATAAATTTAACTTTGTTGAAATGAGAAGAATTTCAATTTAAAAAAATTTAATTACTAAACATTTATAACAAATATTTCAAGTTTTGATTTTTGTTAACATTCAAAGTCTTGACTGGGTATCTCCAAGAAGATGCTGTCACCCATTGCATGAATTATGTGTTGGTAAAAAATCGGCGGCTGTAAAAAGTATTTCGATAAATATGTCTACAAATGTTTTGAAACACCTAAAGTCAGAGCGCATTCTAATTTAAGTGAAAGCAAACACTGCCACTAAAAATGATTTATTTGAAGACACAACTGATTTTGATTTTGAGCCTAAAGAAATTTTACTTTCTGGGAAATTAGGTTGATGGTGCCACTTTTAATGGCAACAACTTATTAGAAGCACTCCACATCAAGCCTTTTCAGTTTCAGATAAAAAATAAAAGATATCTAAGCTCAGCAATAGAACCAAAAATAATTTACAAAAAAAATTTGAATGAGCGAAGGTACAGCTTGCAAAGAGGTTCGCTGAAGCTGTTGCCCCGGATCAGAGTGAAGACTTTATCTTAATTTTTTTAAATAGATCTATGGAAACCTCATATAGTTTTTTGAACATATTGTTTTGTATTTGATTGAACATGAAAAGTTTACTAAGAAGTTAGTTATGAATGTTTTTGGATGCACCAAATACAAGATAGACCAGGTACGAAAAATGAAGAATGCTAACATAGGTATAACTATTCCTGTCAAAAAAGAAATTGCGCGAAATAGATTAGACCAGAAAAAAGCAGAAAATTTCCTCAATTTTACATTTAAAAACAGCTTTCTTCAAGATGTTGCATATAGAGTCACAAAAATTTAATTTGACTCAAATGATGTATATAAAATATTTCGGACAGTTTTGACAGCAAAAAAGAGTCAAACAATTGCATTTTATAATAAAGTTTGCAGAAGTGAGATTTACTATCCTTTAATGGGATAGCAGTTTGCGAAAAATACTTTATGACGTTAAACCATTATAACGAAAATGTTTAGCGGAACTGGATAATATTACGACTGCAGTTATGAATGGTTTCTCGATGTTACAAGATTTATCTTTGAAGTACAAGAATATATAACTGAGTAATTTTTTTTCTGAGTAATCCTTAGTTAAACTAAAAAGATTAACATCAAATAATTCAACCGACGATGTTACTATTTATGATATTGAAATTGCTCTTTATTCATCTCTTTTTTCATTGATTATAAAAATATTTTTTGCTTGATTGTCAACAGAAAAAAACCAAAGTTTTTGCTTTTGAAAGTCTTGATAAAGAATCTGAACTTTGGTTGAATAACTATTGTCAAAAGGTTCTACCATCCAAATTCAGGGATGTTTAAAAGGAATATTTTGGAAAAAAGGAGAAGGCCACTACATGTAGATATATTCTTTACTAAAAAAAAACAGTATTTTACAGAAAAAGGTGTATTTTACATCTCTTTATAGGTGTGAGCAAATTTTATCGGAAACACTATTAATTTCCAAATTAGTTCTTCCGAAATTTAAGCATGACCATTCCGATGTTAATAAACTCTTGGCAAAATATTATAATGCTTCATTGTAACATGGCAACTTCATAATGAAAGCTCTTTTTATGTTGTGTAAAATTAACTAAATACAGCTCAAGCGATTATAACAAACCTTATCGTGGCAAGGCTTAGTGCTCAGAGAAGCTGCTGCAAAGTCATTGATTCGTAGCTTTGTAGATGCTAGTAACGACTTGATATGTGCAGAGGATATTAATACTGCTTTGCATTACGGCCATGGAATGAAAAATTCTGCTGCTGGTGTTGCCACTATAACGGGCAAAGCAAGTTGAGTGGAACTAAAAAAGCTGAAATCAGTCAGTATCATTAATATGAGTTGTTTCATAACTATATGACAATATGACGATACTATGCAGTTGTCAATCGAGTATCGATTCTTAGCAAAAAAACTTTGTTGCTATAGGCCGTCGACTGCTGCAGAAAAAGCTTTCAAAAAAAAGACATTCGTTATACACATTTAGTAACTAAAATTTGAAAAAGTTTTCTTAAAGATTTAAACAAACTAATCACAAAAAAAAAAGTTCCCAAATTTTCATGGCCACATTAACCGGATAATTGAGGTCAAAGTTTTGATTTATATAAAAAACCAAAAAAAAATAAAAACGACTTTCTTTTTTTCCTAATTATGCCCAAATAAATAATAATTTTGATTCCAAATTTAGTTTGTAAATTCTTTAAATAACTACCAAAAGTATCTTAAAATTTAAATACTATTTGATATAGGTAATCTAGGTTCTGGGCCTTTTTATTTTTGATCTCTTTTCTTAGGATTTGCCATATGCCATTTTTATGCAATGTTTTAAAAGAGGACTGTAATTAAAACAGAAATATTATTGTTAATTCATTATATATACTACTGCCACTGATGTTTATCTTGCAGTTCAAAATCAAAAAATGTTAAATAACAAATGACTTTTATTACAATTTATTAATCTAATCTAAGTTGCTATCATTATCAGACTCATATGGTTCATCTTATTGGTTGTCATCATCCACTTCTTGATGGTTATCACCATAATTTATATTTGCAAAGATCTGGGCAAACTACACAGGCTTTATAACAAAAATAACTTTTAGTAGAACAATCACGGCAATAATAGTGAACAAAATCAAGCGCCGAATCTGGTGCAGCAGGATTATAACCAAGATATGGGAATTAAACCTTGAGCATTAAACCTACCATTCCCAAAAGGACTTGGTGAGTTATTCACTGCTACATGTGATCGTTTTCTGATAAAAGCTTTATAATTAGCTCTATTAATATGTAGAACAAGCGAATCTTTATTTGGTTAAAATGCTTCCTTGCTGAATTTACCAGACTTAAGCGGAATTAGCTGATTCTTCTTGTTCAGCCCCGTATAAGTCACAGACATATGTTTCCAGTATATTTACTAGTTCATCAGATGGTGGTACTGAATCACCTAAAGTTTTAAGAGCATCTAAGTACTTTGCTTTCTTCCGTAGGTACACCGTAGCGGAAATAATTTACTTGAAAAAAAATGCTCACCAGAAACGGTTTGCATTTTTGAAACCACGATACTTTGAACAGGGTTAAAGTGCAGGTTATGAATTTTTTGTGTTTAAGATAGGTAACTTTTAGAGATGGTGCAAACTTTAAAATTTGTAATATTGATACTGGTATCAAATAAAAATGTTTTAGAAAAAAATACAGTAATAGGAGCCTAGGAACAATATAGGGGAGACCGGGGCTAGTTGGCCGCAGGGGTAAGTTGACGAATTGCGTTTATCTTTAAAGCCTTTCATCAGAAAGTGATAAAAATTACACAGAATCTTCCTAATTGACTGTTTCATCATTCAATGTAGTATTGTCAGGATTCGCGCATGCGCATGGGAGATATTAAGATTTAAGTGTTTTTTGGACAAAAACGTAACTTTTGAAACATCGCTTCCTTTTTACTTTACAAAGAAAATAGTTAGTCAAATGGAAAAAAAATTATTGTAAAAGTTCTAGCCACAATTGGTTTACTATATTCAGTTTGACTTTTTTTAAAAGTTGCCGTTTTTCAGGATCTATAGACTGTTTATTGAAAAAAAAGCCTTCGGGGTAAGTTGACAAAATTTTTACGGGGTAAGTTGGCTCATAGCATTTACTATGGAGAAAAATATTTATTTTTATAAAAATAATTTTTTTAATTTTTTTAATTTTTAACAATATTGAAAAAACTTATTCTTACAAAAAAATTATAAAAATTTTTTTTTTAGGTTTTTTGTAACAGGTAAAAAGAGGGCTGCTGTT